AACACAATATAAATTTAAAAAAGTGCAATGAGTAGTAATTCATGAAATTTATAATGATTTTAAAAATTAAAAAAGTATTTGATTAATGTTTACCATAAAGACAAAAACATTGAAAAAAAAACATTCAAATTACTAATGAAATACTAAAATTTTTACTAACAAAGGTAAATAATGCAATTTTTAAAAAATTTAATTATTCCTTTAAATTAAAATTGTGTCCAATCCAAAAGGTTTTTTTTTTTTTTTTTTTTTTTCAAAATCTTAAAATGTAAAATGGTAAACTTTACTGTTTGAACTTAAAAAAAAAAATGAAAAATTGACCAAATAATTGCCTGACAAGCAAATATAGTAAAATAATTAAAACTAAAAGAAAATATATATTTTTAAAAAAATCACAAGAAAATGCTGTATTCATTAAAAATTTTTATATGGTAAATAATAAATTATTAAATGCATTATTTGCAGCAAGCAAAGCACAATATGCAAGGTTTCATTATGACCTTGATCATTTAGGTGGGTGTTTTTGTACTACTAAATAATTGGTCAATTTGTACGTTATTCTACTAAGTAAATATAAAACGACAGAAATTTCTTTTTCTTTTTGCGCACATCACGTTGAAAACGATAATGTATTTTATATATATATCGGCAAAATTATATGTTCTTAATATTTACCAGTTGTACCATCTTAACAGGAAAATTTGATTCAAGGCCTTATTATGTTCGGATACAATAAAATATTATTGATAATAATAATAATAATTGCAACTTACCAAGTCTGATGAGGTTAAGTTTGTGTTTCATACACTTTGGTTTTAAATGAAAACAAATGTAATCACAGAATTTAATTTTTAAAAAAAATCACAGTTTCATTTCATATCATCACAATTAACATAACATAAACAAAACCGTTCAGAAGCTGATGGTGATGAGATGATAATATAAAAAAATTGCCCTGTCCAAGCAAAATATTTTCTCTGACGTCACTGAAAATATCGACAATTTTCAAACAAGTGTTCTAAAAGCCACATAACCCGTTCTTGACCAATGACCTTTTAAAAGAAAGAACCATACAATATTTAATAATACTGCAATACTTTTTAATATTTTTGACACTTTTCTATTATTTTTACAGGGACACTATCACTAAAATCATATTTTTTTTTATAGTAAAAATAAATTTCTAATGCAGAGCGCCCCTTTGAATAAAATGTATGACATCATTGTGACATCACTGATCA